GGGACTACTTCCTGACTGCGAGGAGCTGATCAACTTGGCGCAAACGACGTTCAGGCCGCTACAGCCTCAGCCTGAGCACAGGGCGGTTTTCTGGGCCTGGGAAATACAACCCGGCAGGCTTAACACATCTCAACATGGATTGCCGCACGGAGAGTTGGGTGGCAAAGGCCAAGGCGTAGCGACATCCGTGAAACAAACAAACAAACAAACAAACAAACAAACAAACAGACACGAACCTCTGCGCCCACCCTCCCTTCACTCCCCTCACTCCCCTCTCCTCGGCTGCAATCCTCCAAAACGACCTGCGCAGGGCTTCAATGAGTTCACGCGACCTGTCTCACTCGAGGCCTGGCCTCACGCCATCTCAGCTTCGGCCTGCCGCCTCTGCAGCTCGGCCGTCTTACTCAAGCACCCCCATAGGTTGCCTTAGCCGTTCGTCCCCTGCAAGTTGACAGCCGGATAGCTCAACATATCCAAACTCCGGTCACAAAAGTCGAATATGCCGCCAAGTCGCGCACATCCATTTCCTGATGCTTTGTCAAGAACCCGCCTTTGTTCAAGGCCTTGTAGTGCTTGACTCGCTCTTGCATTTCCTCGCTCGCCGCCTTCATCGCCATCTCATACTCCTCTTGCGCTTTGGTCAACGGGCGGACTGGCGGGGCGAGGATCTCCACATCCTTCGGCGACTGCGCTGGAGCCTGCGCGGCCGACTCAGCTTCCGGCTCTTGTGGCGCTGGAGCCGGTGGCGCAGGTGAAGGCGATGGCCCCACCAGAGGCACCCCCGCATCAGCCGCGGGCCTTCGTGCCCGCAGAAAGCGGAGCAGGCCAGCACAGCATTTTGCCACGGCCGACGGCATACTTGCTGAAAACCTTTGTGCAAAATGTTGAACTACCCTATGCCTGAGCCTGGAAACCACGTCGCCATGCTCTGCAAGCAGCTTCTGCCCAAGCTTGCAGTGCGACAAAGCATCAACCAAGGAACACATGGTCGGTCAATGAACTAACAGGCGTTTCTACTTCACTTGACCAAGGAGAGTCGAACCCCTGTGTGGGGGGGGGCGGGGGGGGGCGGGGGCTTGGTGAGCAAAATCAAGCCTCCCTCTAAAAGAAGCCTTGCTAACGCAAGCAACTACTCAGGATAACCATCCTGTGGGGCTACCTTTCGTGGAATGGTCGTGGAATGGAAGAAGTCCGCTACAAAATGATTCTATGCGCCATTCGTGCAACAATAAGGCTCTGGATGGCGTTGATACAAACATTCAACCGAACAGCCTGCCACCACCCGGTCAGCTGGTGCCACAAACATGGCGATCGATTTCCGCAGTTTCACTCTCGCATCGCTGATATTACATGCTCGCAGCCCCTTCCTGTGCGGAAACTGCGGCTCAAGGCTGTCCTGCCACCTGTTTTGGAAAACGATGTCTGAGCAATGCCCAAAGAATGAGAATAGGGTTGTGGGATACCCTGCGGCTAACATACGCCATTATCATTGCATATATATATATATATATACAATTTGTTCGTCCCATGTTTTCGGATTATTATTTTTTTTGTGGGGGGGGGGGGGCATACATATTTCCAATACGGTGGTCTAAGGACCAGCCTCAATCGATTGGACGGCCGAGATCTCCAGGCCGCAGGTGGCCGCCTTCGGTGACCTCCTTGAAATAGAAATCGGGACACCGGTGAGACTATAGGCGCTTTGGGATTGTTGGCCGGGGTGGGTTTCTCGAAATGGGGGGGGGAGGCGTATCCCTAATCCATACAACGCAACAAGGAACCACAACCATCCAGGATTGCGGATTGATTTGGAACAACCCAGCGCAGCGTTCGCGGCCAGGTTTGGCCTCTGCACCAGCCGTCAATCCAAACCTATGAATAGGTGAGAACTCACCCAAGTGGGCGGTTCCCATGACGCGTGGCACAAGCACTCGCAACTCTTTCTGTGACGTGGCGGGCCCGGAGCAAGGGGTGCCAATTCGAATTCCAGCGATGTCTCGCACCTCGGGCCGGAAGTCTTTGCGCCAAAAGGGGCGTCTACTGCCCAGCGGTTGATTGGGGAAAACCCCTGGTTTCTCTGCGACCACTGGGGGCACCCTTACCGGTTTAGAATTGGGCTACCACTGTGTGAAAAAACGCACTCACAGGGTTAGAATTGGGCTAGCAGTGGCGAAATCTAACTTGGCATTGGTAAAAGAGACGGCGCTCCAGCACCGGCAGAAATGCAACTTCTCAGCATGGAGGCAAACATGCCAAACCCCGACCAAAAAAAACACAACTAACACCACAAGCCAAGCACGCAAGAGGAGACACCACTGCAAGTGAAGAACGCCCAATTCAGCAAGAAACGAGAAAAGAACAAATGGTCTCATACAAAAACATGTTGACAAAATACACCACAGCAGCCGCAGCTTGCCTGCTTATTACTTTGATAAAAACAAAAAACTTGTGCTTTTTTTTCCGAAAACGGGAAACGAAAAGAACAGCAAAGGAAAAGGACAGGCAAGGCAGGAAAGGACAGGAAAGGAAAGAAAGAAAGAAGCTGGTTGGTCGCACGTGGGTTTGATCCGGGGCAGTCTGATCCGGTGCGATACCACTACACCAACCGCCCCAGATACCAAGGGCTGGAGAAAAAAAAATACACCAGAAGGAGCTTCTGGATAGTTTCGGCCCAATGGTTGCTGTTTGGCCGTTACAACCCACCCAAAGCCGCCGCTATATTTCAATCCCACAACCTGGAGCAACATGGAAAAACTCCATGCAGGACATCCCGCTCATAGTACACCAGGACCCGCCAATAGCGTGGGTCCAAACAGCCAGCGTTTGAGGCAAAAACACTCACTTCGGCTCTGCGGCCCTCGCAATGGCCGTTTTTTGGCTCCGAAACCTGTGTTTTGAGGGTTCCGCGCTTGTTCACCTCTTGTCGTGTTAAGTTGGTTTCTATCGCTGATTGTCAGGTTCCGCCAGAGTGCTCACTTCTTAAGCGGTGCTTGGCCCCCATGTTATTGGGAGATTTGAGGTTTCCATTTGCCAGGGTTCCATTCTTGACCCACACCCATATATTCATAGAAAAAAATGAATTCTTCGTGATCCAAACATGTCCCACAGGGGCAAGCGGATCGATCCACCACTTCGGAGGGCCTCAAAAGTCGTGAAACCATGCGCCCCACCCACACCGCGAAAACCCGCGAGTTGCGACATGCGAATAAAGGGAAACCCCAGGCCCCTCAAGAACTTCCCCACAAGGGTTCTTTGCTCGAAAAAAGCTTGAAAAGGTTCTAACCCATGGGCCAACCGCCAACCTCTGGTTCAATATTGCCTTTTAAACAATATGGTTTAACCATCCTGTTGGTTTTATGCCCCTAACCAAACTCTGGACAGAGTTCTTAGCACCCTGTTCGGGGGACTACTTCCTGACTGCGAGGAGCTGATGAACTTGGCGCAAACGACGTTCAGGCCGCTACAGCCTCAGCCTGGGAAATCCAACCCGACAGGCGTAAAACTTCTCAAGCCGCACGGAGATTTGGGTGGCAAGGCGTGGCGGCATCCGTGAAACAAACAAACAAACAAACAAACAAACAGACAGACACGAACCGAAACAAACTAGAGAGAGAGAGAGAGCGAGAGAGAGAGAGAGAGACACTGTCAGACAGAGACACAAAGGCAAATACAAATCAATGGGGAAACACAGAGCCATTTTTTCACACATTCGCAGACACAGACACACAGACACACACACACACACACACACACACACACACACACACACACACACACACACACACACACACACACACACACACACACACACACACACCCACACACACACGCACACACGCACGCACGCACGCACACACACACACACGCCACACACACGCACGCACGCACGCACGCACGCACGCACGCACGCACGCACGCACGCACGCACGCACGCACGCACCCACACACACACACACACACTCACACACACACACACACACACACACACTCACCAAGCTCACCAGACTTGATACGCAAGCAACATCTTCGCCCACATGGTCTGCGCCCACCCTCTTTTCACTCCCCTCACTCCCCTCTCCTCGGCTGCAATCCTGCAAAACGACCTGCGCAGGGCTTCAATGAGTTCACGCGACCTGTCTCACTCGAGGCCTGGCCTCACGCCATCTCAGCTTCGGCCTGCCGCCTCTGCAGCTCGGCCGTCTTACTCAGGCACCCCCATAGGTTGCCTTAGCCGTTCATCCCTTGGAAGTTCACAGCCGGATAGCTCAACATATCCACACTCTGGTCACAAAAGTCGAATATGCCGCCAAGTCGCGCACGTCCATTTCCTGATGCTTTGTCAGGAACCCGCCTTTGTTCAAGGCCTTGTAGTGCTTGACTCGCTCTTGCATTTCCTCGCTCGCCGCCTTCATCGCCATCTCGTACTCCTCTTGAGCTTTGGTCAACGGCCGCACTGGCGGGGCGAGGATCTCCACATCCTTCGGCGCTGACTGCGCTGGAGCCTGTGCGGCCGACTCAGCTGCTTCCGGCTCTTGTGGCGCTGCTGGAGCCGGTGGCGCAGGTGGAGGCGATGGCCCCACCAGAGGCACCCCTGCGCCAGCCGCGGGCCTTCGTGCCCGCAGCAAGCGGAGCAGGCCAGCACAGCATTTTGCCACGGCCGACGGCATGCTTGCTGAAAACCTTTGTGCAAAATGCTGAACTACGCCCCTATGCCTGAGCCTGAAAACCACGTCGCCATGCTCTGCAAGCAGCTTTTGCCCGAGCTTGCAGTGCGACAAAGCATCAACCAAGGAACACATGGTCGGTCAATGAACTATCAGGCGTTTCTACTTCACTTGACCCCGGAGAGTTGAACGGGTGGTGTGCAAAATCAAGCCTCCCATCCCTCTAAAAGAAGCCTTGCTAACGCAAGCAACTACTCAAGATACCCACCCTGTGGGGCTGCCTTTCGTGAAATGGAAGAAGTCCGCTACAAAATCAAATCCAGCGCAAACCAGCTATTGTCAACTAATGCGCGCTCTTTCAAATCTATGCGTCAGAATGGCTCCAGCCGTAGCAGGGGCTCTTCAGGCGCTGGCAAAAGTGGGACACTGCCAAGCTCAGCACCCCTTGGCCGTCCGTCCATGCAGATCTGAGCGCGGACAGCACCATATGTGTGTCAGACGATGGAAATCCCCCCCCGGTTCCGTTCCACACGGCAGCTTTTGCTACCGTCGGATTTCGAAGGGGGGTGAGAGCTGAGAACAGAGCGGTCTCCCCGCTGGCCAAGTGCCGTCGCCGGAAACCGTCTCTGACATTATCCGCGCATGCGATCTCAGGAACTCTGCCGGCGCGAAAGTATTCTCTGTACTCCTGCCAGGAACAATCTGAAAGCTCACATGCAAAAGGGCTGCTAACTTTGTCTTGCTCTTCGGTGGCTGCACGTCAAACCGAGGCTCGTGCTGGCATACAGCAGCGTCGGAGAGAGCAAGATGTAGTGCCTCGTCGCGTGAACTGCCTTCGTCAGGTTAAACACACTTCAGCTCATCATCAGTTGCTAAAAGCAGCCGGCTTCCACGGATTCCGATCCTTAGGCTCAGGCCCAACCGGCCCAATGAAGGTCGTGAATATCAGGCACATCAGGAACTGGCACGCGTCTCTTTGCGTGGCAAAAGCTGTTCGCGCGGAGACTCTCCGGTTGTTGCTGCCCAGGCGGGATCCCATGAGTCCGCACGATTCACTCTAGTTTGTCACCATCCTGACAATGAATGAATAAATAAGTAAAGAAGTTCTCTCCCTTTGAACATACGTGGGCTCTCGAGAAGAAAGGTGTCTTGCTCATCCGAAGCACATGGCAGGCCCACAATAACGAGGATGACTGACAGGCCAGATTCATCCTTGGGCGGCAATCAAATAGAGTCGGCACCCAACACCCACGGCTGCCCATTTGATGGAGGGAGGGTGCTTGTTTTGCGCGTCTGGTGACTGCTGCATTTGAGCGACCAGGGCGTCCCCAAGCGCTGCCAACCTGCCAACCCTTGTTTAAAGATGCTTAAACCACCATTGTCTCAGCAACCTTCTTGTGGCGTCCCTGCAAAACGAGCGACAACTTTGCCCAGTTCAACCCCGACGCAAAGGCTTCGCAACTAGGGCTGCGGGCCCATGTGAGATGATCGCAGATATTCATGGTCCACACTGCGACCTGCACGGGTCAGGAGCATGCCCCAGTGCCGACTGCTTGTTTGGCAATTTGGCACCTCAAACCCCGCGGGAGAAAAAAAGAAAGGAATGCTCCCCAAAATGGCTATGGGTCAAAACCCCGTACCTGCAGTGAACATCCCAATCCCCACTAAGGTGGTGCACCTACCCGAATATGGTACCATTGGTGTTGACCCACGGCCAAATGGCCTTCCGGGTGCTTCTGGTGGGCGCCCGAAATGGGGAAGTCCGCTCAGCGCCCGGCGTGATCTCTAAAATAAAAATGGAAGACGTAGGCGCCCAGGGTGGTGTTTCCCCACCTCATTCAAGTGCGACTCGATGCGCCTTGAAGCCGGACCCCTTAAGGACACCGCCAAGCTAGGTCGAAGGGGAAGTAGGTCATGCCGAGCCTCATGCAATGCGTGCTGGCCACCCTTGTCCACGTAAGGACACCCTCTTGGTTGTCTTGAGGGAAACCGAAAGGTTTGGGGGTACCGTTTTTTGGGGAACACCCACCTCACAATGAACAAAGCGATCCATCTCAGGCCGCGAGGGACAGTCGGCTCTCAAATGCCACCGGGGCAGCGCAAAGAGCGTGGGCTGGATCACGTCGACGGACAGCTCCAGCCAGGCCCAAGCCTCAGCACCAAAAATCGTGCAAAATGACTCTGCCCAGTGGATTTCCATGGGGAAAACAAAAGAATCGGCATCCTTTCTTGACTTTAAAGGCTGAACCCTTCCCAAAGCAAGTTGAAAAAAGGGCACTGGGCAGCTGGAAAATGAGTGGGATCCATCCATCTTCAACCATGGCCTGAAAGAAAAACACTAAATGCAACTCGCGGCGCTTGAATCACCCGACAAAGTTGGCTCGCCAGCCAATCGCCCGATCGCGAGCCCTCGGCGCACCTGTTGCCCACAGCCCTGTTTTGGCCAAGGAGCCATGCCGGTGCCATTCTCCAGGACGTTGTTGGGATAGTGGAACCTCGGCAACGAATCCCGAAGGAAGACATGGGAAATGCCCCCACACAGCGAATTGGAAGGGCCGGGGGTCCCGGATGTCCCTCCCAAAGGAACAGTAGACTACCAAAACAGTCCAGAAATGGCCGGTTGGGGACAGTTGGCAACCTCCCACATGTGCCTGGCACAGAACGCGCGCACATGTATATATATATATATGCATATCTACAAAGGAAGCTTCTTTGGCAACGCCGTTGTGGGGTTCTATGTTGGAGCCAAATCCATCCCTGGCTCATACACAAGCCAACGTTGAGGCCGCGGCATGCACATCATCACCTGAGCCGCACGGATTCCCTAAAGTCCTGAAGGACATGGAAAAGTAGTGGATCCCCCAATGTCCCTGCCAAACTGAACCACGGGACTGCCACCACGGGACAAACATCCACGATTCAAGTGAAATAAGCTAGATTGCTTTGCAAATGATCCTAAACATACGCACCAAAAGAGGGGGGCTGCCACCCTCAGGTCGATTTCGAAGGACGAAGAGAACAAGACAAAATGTTCACCTTAACGCGCCCGAAAGAGCCGCATCCGTATCTATCCACCGCCACGGGGCCCTCGCCCCTATCATCATGCTGCAGCCCAGCGAGGCGGCAGCCCAAGTGGGGCCCTGGTGCTGGACGTCTGGATGTTGAGAGTATACTTTACCCTCTGAGATACTTGCTGTTTTCTTAAGTGAAACCAAAGGAAAGCCGCCGTTTTGGGGGCTCACTGTAGATTGATTATGCACAAACCCCATGCAAATGTTCGAAGCATTTGGGAATGCGCATGCGGCCGTGTCGGGTTTAATGGTAGCCCTCTATTGTTTTCGGGGGAGGGGGGGGAGGAAAGGAAAGCCAAGAGACATTTCAGGAGTGTGCCCACATTAGACAAACCCGTCTACAACGTGTGTGTGTGTGTGTGTGAACCCCTGATATGAACTCATCGTTCTAGCGGACATTTTCCACGCTAAATGGCTCAACGGTGCAAAAGCTGTCTTTCATCTGTTGATACCATTGTATGGCCTTCATGGGTCTAACGAGATGGACCCTACCAAATCACAGTGTCCCTTCGGTTAGTCCAGTATCGGAATACGAGCGTGAAACCCTAACTGAGACAGTTCCCTCACAGGGGGAAATTTGTTTGGTGGCTGAATTCATTCATTCCATTCCTTTCCATGCCATTCAATTCAATGTCCATGTCCATTTCCATCAAATTCAAATTCAATTCCTTCCTTCCTTCCTTCCTCCCTTCCCTTCCTCCTTCCAGTCATTCCTTCCTTCCAGTCATTCCTTCATTCATTCATTCCATTCCATTCCATTCCATTCCGCTTTATTCCATTCCACTCCATATTCATGAAATCATTAGGTCATGTCATGTCATGTCATGTCATTCCATTCCCATCCAGTGTGGTCATGTCATGTCCTGTCATCATGTCCTGTCATATCATGTCATGCCATTTCATGTCAAAAATGCAATTCCATGTCATTCCATGTCATTTCATGTCATTTCATGGCATTCATTCATTCATTTCATTCCATTTCATTTCATTTCATTTCATTTCATTTCATTTCATTTCATTTCATTTCATTTCATTTCATTCATTCATTCATTCATTCATTCATTCATTCATTCATTCATTCATTCATTCATTCATTTCATTTCATTTCATTTCATTTCATTTCATTTCATTTCATTTCATTTCATTCATTTCATTCATTTCATTCATTTCATTCATTTCATTCATTTCATTCATTTCATTTCATTTCATTTCATTGCATTGCATTTCATTCCATTTCATTCCATTTCATTTCATTTCACTCATTCATTCATTCATTCATCATTCATTCATTCATTCATTCATTCATTCATTCATTCATTCATTCATTCATTCATTCATTCATTCATTCATTCAGTCATTCATTTCATTCATTTCCTTCATTTCATTCATTCATTCATTCATTCATTCATTCATTCATTCATTCATTCATTTCATTTCATTTCATTTCATTTCATTTCATTTCATTCATTCATTTCATTCATTCATTCATTCATTCATTCATTCATTCATTCATTCATTCATTCATTCATTCATTCATTCATTCATTCATTCATTCATTCATTCATTCATTCATTCATTCATTCATTCATTCATTCATTTCATTTCATTTCATTTCATTTCATTTCATTTCATTTCATTTCATTTCATTCATTTCATTTCATTTCATTTCATTTCATTCATTTCATTTCATTTCATTTCATTTCATTCATTTCATTTCATTTCATTTCATTCATTCATTCATTCATTCATTCATTCATTCATTCATTTCATTCATTTCATTTCATTTCATTTCATTTCATTTCATTTCATTTCATTTCATTTCATTTCATTTCATTTCATTCATTTCATTCATTCATTTCATTCATTCATTCATTCATTCATTCATTCATTCATTCATTCATTCATTCATTCATTCATTCATTCATTCATTCATTCATTCATTCATTCATTCATTCATTCATTCATTCATTCATTCATTCATTCATTCATTCATTCATTCATTCATTCATTCATTCATTCATTCATTCATTCATTCATTCATTCATTCATTCATTCATCATTCATTCATTCATTCATTCATTCATTCATTCATTCATTCATTCATTCATTCATTCATTCATTCATTCATTCATTCATTCATTCATTCATTCATTCATTCATTCATTCATTCATTCATTCATTCATTCATTCATTCATTCATTCATTCATTCATTCATTCATTCATTCCTTCATTCATTCATTTCATTCATTCATTCATTCATTCATTCATTCATTCCTGTCTTCCTTCCTTCATTCATTCATTCATTCATTCATTTCATTTCATTTCATTTCATTTCATTTCATTTCATTTCATTTCATTTCATGTCATTTCTTGTCATGTCATGTCATGTCATGTCATGTCATGTCATGTCATGTCATGTCATGTCATGTCATGTCATGTCATGTCATTCATATCATTTATTCATTCATCCATCCATCCGTTCCGTTCCGTTCCATTCCATCATTAATTCGCCTCAACCTCCAGGGCCGGGAAGCGGTCAGACCCATTCAGAACCTCTCCAGGTGCCTCCAGTCCGCTTGAAGCAAGCCTGGAAGCAGCCGGCTGCTTGCTGAGGTGAGATCCCCGCAAATCCCTCCAAAAACGCTTATCAAACCCAAAGCCGTAGAAACTGGTCAAATCCCCTTCTGGAAGCCGATAGACACTGGTCAACATCCCATCTAGATCCAGCCCTGTAAAAAAGGGTTCAACTCCGGTCAAAACCTTGCTGGAAACTGGCCAAATTCCCCTTAAAACTGGTCAAATCCCCCTTTAAAACCTTAGAAGTCTGTCAAATCCCCTCTGAAAACAAGTCCAACATCCGTCAAATCCCCCTAGAAACCGGCAAAGTCCTTCCCCAAAAAAAAAGTCAAATTTTCTAGAAATTTGGACCTGCGCTTGCCCACCATTCCGTAGCTCTCTGCAGCTCTCGTTCTGGCCCTTGAAGCCAGGTGAAATCGTGCGGACATGCACCCACCCTCTTGCTTGGAAGCCAGCTCACGCATTTTGGCGCCGACTCACTCACTTTAAACACAACGCTTCCAGGCAAACTAAAGCACACTATATACCTCAAAGCCAGCCAAAAGCGGACTGGCCGAGGCGGGCAACGCGAAGCGTTTACAATTCATTGATTTCTTTTATTTATGAAATTCATTGCTTCATGTCATCTCATCATCATGTCATGTCATTTCCTTTGATGCATACATGAATGATATTCGCTCAGCTATTAATCTAGCGATTTATCTATTCAGCATGTTGTTGTTTTTCCCAAATATCTGTAGGGGTTCTAACTTCTACTAAACAGGGAAAGCGATTTGCGAGATGGACGGCTGGGTGCTACAAGGCGGGCAGCTTGTGGTGCTGGTGTGGGTTGTTTGGGGTGTTGTTTGAGCTGCTGGTGATGGTGCGGGAGCATTGTCTTAAGATTGACCTCAAGGTGCTAGGGCATGCAGTTTGGACTGGCGGTTTGGGGCGTTGTTTGAGGTGCTGGTGACGGCGCGGGGGCATTTTTGCGAGATTGACGGCCAGGTGCTCCGGGTGCTGTTCGGGGCGCGGGCGCTTTTGCGATTGATGGCAGGGTGCTAGGGGCATGCAGTTTGCGGTCCTAATCCCGGGTGGTTTTGGGGGGGCTGGTGACGGGGACGCGTTTTTGCGAGATTGACGGCGGGGTAACTAGGGGGCATGCAGTTTGGGGTGCTGGGGCAGGGGCTGGTTTGAAGAGCCTGGCGACTTCTAGGTGTGTTTTTGCGAGATTGACGGCAGGGTGCTCGGGCGCATGCCATTTGGGCATTCTTGCGTGCTGGTTTGGGATGCTGTTTGGGCTGCTCTTCGGCGGCAATCGTTCGTGCTTGTATCTGGGGTCTATGCTGGTGTAACTTAGTTGTTCATCTATTCATTCATGTCATACACACACTTACGAGTATGTATACTGTATATACATATTATCAGCTACACATCATGTTGGAAACACACGACGGCTGCAGCTGGCAGGTTGAGCAGCTTCAGCAGGCCTTTGGTAGCCGCTTGCTAAGCTTGTCCACCACCGGCCTGCACGAGTTTCAAAGACTCCGATGCCCCCGCCTGCTAAATAGCGTGACTTACGCATTCGCGTAGGTGGGCGCTTCTTAGAGGGACTTTCGGTGACTAACCGAAAAAAGTTAGGGGCCTAGACACTTTCGAAAACAATAGATGTACCGAGGTTCCATCTCCCACTCGCTCTCGCCTCAGATAGTGGAAGCACCACACATAGTACGCCAAGTACCTCGCGCGCTAAGCCAGCAGAAGGGAAGAACCCGATGTGTGGCGCACCAGGAGACCCAGCGCATATACATGGCGCAGCCGCCTCCGAAGTTTCGGTAGATCCACCTGGCAACAAGCGAGCTCGGCTTTCTGATTGGTGACTGGGCCCACAAGCGGCATCTCCAGCTTTGCCCGTCCCACCCTACCCAAGTCAGGCCTATCAGCCAGCTCCCTCAATCAAGCCTCCCCAACCACAGGCAAACATTTCAAAAGGCAGAGTACTCAGTGCTTCGCCTGTCAAAGTAGGTGTTGTCTCGGTGTTGTCTCTGCACAAAACTGTTCGAGGCTTGACTCATTCCTGGATCGTTTTCCGCTTTCCTCCCACTGCGCGCAGGGACAACTGGGGAGATGTCCTAAGTAGGCGCCCGCTTTTGGGAGGGAAGCCAAAAGGAACCTAAAGAGTTTTGGGAATCCAACAGGAAGCCAAAACAAACATAGCTTTTGGGACACACCTCAAGTGTTGATTCAACAAACAATCTGGACGCGTTTTGGCCTTTGAAGCCGGGATAAGGGCCCCACACTCCAATAATTTTCGTGCTCTGGGAGTACGCCCTGTGGGAAATCACCCTATTCCAGCCTATTTCGAGATAAAACCTGGCTAATTGTGTTTATTTGGGATGATTTTGGGTGTCCTATTACCCTAGGGTGCCCAGAGTGTCCGAAGACAAACGAGAGTGTAGTAGGAAAGTCCGAAGACAAACAAAAGGCTCGCACCTAAGTCCCAACCCCCTTGGGGCGGAGGAATGCGCATCTCTGACACTCGCTCCCTCCAATCGGTCTGCCGGGACGGCGAGAAGGTCCACATGACGTACACCTGGGCCTCAGGTCGCGTCGAAGCCCCGGTGGTTTCAGGGGGGAACAGCAGGCAGGGAATCCGATGACATCGACCCACTTGGCGTGGTGCTGGCCACGTTTCTTTACGGAAGAAAGAGGGCGGCTTCATTACAAACGTGGGTTGCGGGAGCTGGTTTGAAGACCACTTCGCACACCCAACTCCACCCCCAGCCCGCCTTCTCAGGATTTTGTGGGGTCAAGCTTCAGACCCAGTGGCCATAGAAAGAAGAGCACCCGGGTCTTTGTAGTTCAGCAAACAAAACCTCCAACCAGGATGAAACGCGGGAAGATTGGAACACTGGGACACTGGAACACTGGAACACTGGAACACTTGAACACTGGGACACTGGAAGACTGGAAGACTGGACACTGGAACAGTGGAACACGGGAACACGGGAACAGGTCTGAAGTGATGTCCCTCCTGAAACTGAGGTCACGGCCTGACCCGAACAGAGGTCGAAGGTGAACGGCCGCTCACTTGTACCTTGCCGCGCACTCCAAAGGCTCCGCTCCCCGTGAAGAACGAAAAGTACCCTCCCCAAAGCACCTGGGGGCTGTCACTGAAACCAAAGGTTGAAAGATCAGCTGCAACTAAGAACGCGTCCCTTCCCCTCCCCCTCCCCCCACGACAGGCTTTTTACCCGTCGACGCCCACCGAAATTCGACACGTCGGATCCGCCTTCAAACACCGAGTCTGGCAGAAGGCACCTGAGCTTTTGTTGAGGCACCCCCCTTCCCCCCTGGTCTTGAGGTCTTACAAGGAAGCCGCAGAAAGGAACCCCTTGCCATCTGAGGAAGCCAATCGTGGGACAAACCCAAATGTCACTAGCTTCTTGCTCACCGGCAAGCTCCTGCGTGCGATAAATCCCCCTTGCTGCCACAAACAGTGATTCCAGACCTGAGCGAATTGGCCTCCCCAACTCTCAAACACGGCCAACCACTTGCATCTGTTTATTGGGCCCTGGGGGCAAACGTCGCGTGCTTCCTTCCCGCCAGCCGATTTCTTCCAGTCAAACCCAACAAGCCGGAACAAACAAGAAATCGACCAACCCACCAAACACCCAAATCAAGTCCCGCAAAAAAAAACCGGCACAACCCCAAGAAAGAGCCCCACCAACTTGCCGCGCAAGCCGCCTTCTTGCCCGAAACCCACCAACCGCTTGCCGAGCTGCGGGATGGTGGCCAGGATGCCCTGCAGCCAGCCCGGCACCTGACGAAAGGCTTGGAGGACCCAACCCTCTGGCATCAAGCTGCATGCTCCACGGGCAACCGCCCCTGGGGACGATTTTGGGACCCACGGTTCTGAGGAAAAAGGCGCCGGTTTTGTTTCGGTCTTTGGAGCGAAGAACGGCACCTCCCCTCAAACCACCTTGCCACTTTGCGCCTCCATTTACCTGAGGTGACACAGAATCCCGGCCTTTAGAACGTCCAAGGGAACAAACAGCTGCTGGTTCCCCTTCTGCGGCTCGCCCCCAGGGTACCAAAGCCACTTGGGTCTATGGGCCTCCACCTTTGCAGGGTACCCTCTTAAGAAATATAACAACGAGGGCCACCAATGGAAAACCACCTGTTGCTCTTGTTCTTGTTCTTGTTAGTGTTCTTGTTCTTGTTCTACTTGTTGTTAGTGATGATGATGATGATGATGATGATGATGATGATGATGATGATGATGATGATGATGATGATGATGATGATGATGATGATGATGATGATGATGATGATGATGATGATGATGATGATGATGATGATGATGATGATGATTATGATGATGATGATGATGATGATGATGTGTTGTTCAATTTTATTCTATGTTTTTGTCATGATTTATGTTATTTATGTTTTGGGGGGGGGACAGTTTTGGAGACAAACCACGCTTGCAGAGGCCAACGGCCCCACCTGCAGCCGCTCCCCAAGCTCCAGGAAGGCCCGGGCCTCGGAAGGGGTCGAGCTGAGGTCGAAAACATCTCGGTGAACAGGTGTCCGATTAGCGGAGACACCGGACATGGCGGGCTGAGGGCAGGGAAAAGAGTTGGTTTGGTAGGGTCAGCCTTGCATTTTGGGTTTTTTTCCGGATTTGGAGACAAGCCCAAATGGATCGATCCAGGCTGGCCGATCACTATGGGCACAGGCCTCAACCTTCTCATCGCATGCAGGACTGGTGGACATGTTCCACAATCGCTTTGGCGATCTTAGGCATAGCTGCTCCAAAAAAAAAGAAGAAAGCTGCAGAACTCCGAACTCCAGAATGGCCCAAGAACTGAGCCCCGGAGCCCCAAACAAGCGTGTCCACTTGTGCAACCCCTCAGACCGGGGGCCGGGGGGCCGGGCGCAAAACACCATGCCCAGGTACCACCGGTGATCCGAGGTGTAGGAGTTCACCTGAACGCGCCCCCACGGAATTCGCCAAGAAGCTGACGCTTTTTCCGGGAGAGTTTTTTTCCGGCTGCGACGTGGGCCCAACGCGGAACGTCTCGGTTTCTGACGGAAGTCTGCAAGTGAGCTTCGTCCTTTTGCTTAGATTCTATACCCTTTCTCACGAACTGGCACCTCACAGGGTTTTTTTTCCATTAGGAAGCTGATCTTCCAGGTGTTAAGTGAGAGGAAGGGTACCTCGGTTCTGGGCAAGCACCCGGAAAGCCTGAGGCGAAGCTCAGCACAGTGGCCCCTTTGAAAGGAGATACGCTGTAAATGAATCTGGGGTCAACATGGCCATGGCTCAAAACCCAAATCGTACCCCCCAGTGAACATCCGATTCCACTGACATAGGTCCTAGACTGGGTGAATTCACCCACCCGCCAAGATGGGATCCCCTACGGTTTTGACCACAGCCGCATCTCGCAGCCGGCCTTCATGTAGTCCCAGCCCCACTCGTTGGCCGGCGGATCGGCTCCGCCTGCCGGGGCAACAAGCGCCTTCTTCGCAAGCTGCTGCAGGAAGCGGCTGGAAATGCCGCAGTCCCGGGGAAAATGGCCGTGGGTCAAAAAAAGGTACCCAAAATGGAACCCTGGTAAATGGAACCAAAGACAAAAATCTGCGGTCCATTTCCTGTTGGTTTAAGTTTGACCCACACCCAAATGGCTGCACGTGCTTTGAACCCACGCAACTGGTGAACTCCTATGAGCAGATGCGAAAGCCTGCCGGAGTTTCCCCGCGACACGGCCAGCTTTTCGGGGGGCCCTTTTGGGGAACGGCGAACAAAAGCTTCGGCCGCGCCCCAGGAGATGGGCCAAGCGATGTCGCGGAAGATGAAGTGCAGGATCTGGGGGAAGGGCAGAGCCTCAGGGCGCATGGAACATGCGGGGACTCGGGGGCCTCAACGAGCACAAAAAACGCCTCTCTCGCGCGAAACAAGTGTTTGTGTGTGCGCGTACGTGTGCCTTCTCGCGCCAAACGTCAGAGGGCTCCGCTGCACCCATGCTGCGACCTGTTTTCCCAAGAACACGCCTCTGTAGCCGTTCAACAGGAATCCGGAAGCAAGCCGTCCATTTGGAGTCCCCTAGAGTTTAAAGGAAGCTCGGCTTTAGCCACCCGGGGGCCGGGGGGATCGAACAACGCAACGAGTCTAACGAGCGTTTTGGCCGCAGGCCATGGCCATATACACCAGGAAGACGAAGAGGTCCTGACCAAAGTGGCTTTCTCGGAGCGACTAGAAGCTATGGCTCTTTCCTTCTGGCTTCCCGAAAAAAATACCAACCACAAAAGGATCCAACCATGTTGAGAAACACTCAGGCGGGTATGAATCCTCCATTGGGGACTCTTTGGTGAACATCAAGTACATGCGATGTATGTCCACCTCACGTGTTTCGGACATCGCGGCTTGGGAATCTCCCCCAACGTGTTCCCTGCCATCGACGCTCCTTCAACCCAAAGTTCACCTTGGCTTTGCCGCCGTGCGCTGCGGGCCGGGAATCCTGATAGGCCCCCAGCATGATGAATCCTCGGCCGGAGCAAATCACACAGTTTTTGGTCGCATCCGAGCGATCGGCGCCGACAAATGGCTGTGGGTCAAAAATCGGTATGCTGTGGGTCAAAAATCGGTACCCAACATGGAACTTTGGTAAATGAACACATGGACTAAAACCTGTGGTCCCCTGATGGTTTAATTTTGACCCATACCCAACTATCATGGCCTCGAAAGGTTTCCGTGCGCCAGGCCAAACCATCGAGCCTGAAAGCCGCCACAGTAATTACATTTATACACTCAGGACTCACAAGCAACAAAATGACAAGATGTGAAACAACTGTCAAGCAGAACAGCATGCAAAATAGAACAATCATGGAACTGGATGCCTTGCGTGGCCCTTTCCTTCTCTTGAAATTCACCCACATGTTTACATGCTCTCTTGAAGCCTCTGGCGAATCGCAAAGCGCCCGAGATCCCTCGCTGGTTTTGCAGGCATCCCGGGTAGCTGCATTGCTTGGTCTCAATCCACTGAAGTAAGGGTCCCACGCCTATTGCATGGCCAATTTTTGGTTGCTCCGCAGCCAAAAGTCCCTTCCGCACAAAGTATTTTGGGGCCGGCGTAACCCGAGTGTCCAGCACTTGGGTTCAAAACATTGCTTTCCCTTTAGAACAAGATCTTGCACAAATTGACTCCCCTTAAGCCTTAGTTTCAATGGCTCCTTCCCCTGTCACATTTCAACAACCACAGCTTCCGGAGGTGCGCTTCAGCGCGCACTTGCCTCCCGAAACAGGTCTTACTCTCCCACAAATAAGCAGCGAATAAACACCGAACCCCCCCAAACTCCGCACTCCGCACCTGACTCACTCCAGACTTTTCGCCCGTCCACGTCTTTCACGGGGGCCCCACAAATCACCCCAAAACGCCACCCCCGGCGGTCCGCCGTTTTTTTTTCGCGGCCGGGCGGCCGAAGAGGTCCTGGTCATTGCCCAAGGACCTCACCACGATCTCGGACCAGGGCTTCACCGAGCTCCTGCCATCCGGCCGCTCGGTACGGTGGAGCCGTCTGATTGGAAGCTTGGCTTGGGCCTAAGTCATTGGCAGTAATGTTTGGCCCCCATCTCATTAGGAGATTTGAGGAAAAAAGAGGTCTACTAATAGGGTGCATTTATATTGGTATGGGTCAAAATGAAACCACCAGGAAATGGATTGCAAATGTGAGTTCGTGGTTCCATTTGCCCGGGCTCCATTTTGGGACCTAGTTTTGACTCACAGCCAAATCATTGGAAGAAATGTTTGGAGAATAACATTTCGTCAGGATGAGAAGTGTATCATGAGTAGCTCTTTAGGCCCTTGTATAACCCTTTTGTATGTTAGCTTGAAGGGAAACCAAAAGGAAAGCACCATTGGTGATCGCCCCTGTGTCAACACATGCCCACGCATGCTCGGTGAGTTATCATGACTCACCGAGCGGAAATCAGGATCCCAAGACAGGAAACTGCATCATGAGTGCACTTGCAAATCAAATTCATGGGAGGGTTGGCTGGGAAGAGCTCTTACAAGAGGCATGTTTGACCCAATGCACCTGCTCTTCTTGCTGCTGTTCATTTGAAGTCTCCTTGAAACCAACCCAGCAAAAAAAACATGCGGACGCAATGATAGTCCCTCGCTGGAGGCCCCTTCCTCTGCTGGATGTCCTGTTTTGATTCCTGTGGCAGCCACCGGGAGCTGCAAACGACAAGGTCCCAAATGACCAGATAGGTGTGTGTGTGTGGCACTTAAAAACCACATTCAGCCACCAATACAGGAGCACACCATTGGCATCTAGTCAGCTCTGATCTGGCCATGGGTCAAAACCCAAATTGTACCCCCAGTGAATATCCTAATCCAACCACTAAAATAGGTCCCTGAATTCACCTACCAACCAAAATGGGATCCCCAAACGGGCTTGAACCACCGCCAGACGTCATCCCCACGACATCCGGCTTGCAGCAAGGGTCCGTGGGGCCAATGCCCAAGGCTCCTGGCAAGTGTCGTGCAGAACGGCCAGAACTTGTTCGTGGAGTCGGAGTCTATCGCGCAGCCTCAGTCGGCGTTTTTGTTATTATTATTTTGTTTATTATTTTTTTGGCGATGCCGCAGCTCTAGGATCAGAGGATGGCCAACAGCACACCAACCACCACAAGCAACCAAATTCAGGCAAAATACATAGAATCGTGATTTGGGATACTGCAAACCAACCTAGGCCACGAAGGTAGAAATAGAATGTGTCATGATTTAGCCCCTCTGAGTCCGCCTTCGTTGAGCACAGAAAGCAGCAGGAGAAGCCAGGATCCCAAACTGCAGCCCAGGCACGCATGTAGTGGTCGGTCAATACTCCGATCATCCACCACCTCGGCGAAAAATACTCGGCTTCCCGCTTGGCCAACGCTGGAAACCCGTGAGGCACTCTGAGCACTCTGAGCGCTGGCACGCGTAGCACCGATGAATCACCTGACAGCCACCGCGCACGATCGAAAACGCGAACGCCAGCGCAGGGAGGCACAAAACCGGCGGAGATGTACTGGGAGCAAGCAAGCGACCAACATCAATGCAAGTCCCGGACGGCATCTCTGATTTCCCCTATCCTGGTTTCTGTGGGGCCATGTGCTCCCATAGAAACGATGGACTACCAGTACTGTGCCAGTTGATGGCAGTATGAACGACATGAACCTCCAATGTATGTCCTGAACCCAAATGAGCCGCATGAAGGGAACCAAGGGAACCACCCACAGCCCCTTTCGGCCTGGTTCTCGAAAATGGCCCACTTGGACAGCTTCTTCATCTGGCCCAAGGAGTCCATGACCACCTGATCTGCGTAGCTGCGGGGCCCAAACGAGCTGAGCCTACCTGCCTGCCCAAATTGCAGCTGGTTCCCTCGAGCATGGACCAAGACGTGCGTCTCATTTCACACAAACAAAACAAACAAACAGACAGACAGACAGACAGACAAACAGACAGACAGACAAACAAACAAACAAACAAACAAACAAACAAAAGCACGACAAAACCATGGCTCACCACGAAGGTAGGCATCACATTTTTAGGTGCGAGAGGAAACTGCGCCTCGCCCTCTTCCACAACGTGATCAGTGGCCATCTCGGCCAGCTGCTTCAGATTGGACCTTCGCCCGGCCGAGCTGTGAGAATGCGCCGCAATGCATGTGTATATATATATATATATGTATGTATATATATATATATATATGTTTCCTTTTCGAAATCCGCTGGCTCGCGGTCTACACGTCAAATCCTCTACAAAGTGCGTGTTTGCACGGAAGCCACGCAGACCTTCAATTAACTGCCCGATTGGGGCAGGACATGTCAGTTGCAAAAGTCGACCAGAAAAGCTCTCTCTTGAAGCTGTCTAGTCGGCGATAAAAGCTCACTCTTGAAGCTGCCAGCATTGGATCCCAGCGCGGCGCCAGGATATAACATCCCAGCAGTTCTCACACCAGCGAAAGACACCTGCCCAAGACCTAGCAAATGCTCCCAAAGTGGTCCTCGTGCAGGATGGTAAAGTCGTTCTGGTTTGAATATTGCTGGCTCAGCATCTGCAACTGCTGTTCCTCATAGCACCCGAACTTGTGACCACCTTTGAACTGGCACTGCAGCGAGCAAACCTGATCGCAATGTTGGTGGGCAGTCTGCGAGCCGTAGGCATGACTGTAATCTCCGGCAGCGTAGAGCCACGTCTTGCCGTTGTTCAAGCGGGAGCACATGCAGCAGGTCTCGCCTGGCACCCCGTGGCCCCAGCCCCAGCTGCTGCCACTGCCACCGCCGCCGTTCCAGCCGGAGCCACCGCCGTTGCCACCCCAGCCAGAACCACCACTGCCGGGATAGCCGGAGCCGCCCGAGCCACCGGAGCCGCCACCTGTCCAGCCAGAGCCGCCGGAGCCGCCACCTGTCCAGCCGGAGCCGCCGGAGCCGCCGGAGCCGCCACCGGTCCAGCCGGAGCCGCCGGAGCCGCCACCGGTCCAGCCGGAGCCGCCACCGGTCCAGCCGGAGCCGCCGGAGCCGCCACCAGTCCAGTCGGGGCTCCCACCGCCACCGTACCACTTGGCCTTTGCATCACTGCCACGCAGTGACTTGGACACATTTCCGCTCGCCTTGGTAAGGTTCGCACTGGTGATGTTCGCAAGCGGTTGAGCATCATGCCCGGAGGCAACGTACGCAACCAGTGCAAGGCAAAGGCGGCTCATGGTTCTATGCCTTGGCTTGCCGGTGTGCTTTTGCTTGAGCCAAGATATGTAGCTTGTGTCTGTGTATGCGTCTCTGGTGGGTGGGTTGGTTAAAAATGGTGGCCACCCTGAGGGCCCGGCTTACCATTGGGCAGCTTTGGGAGCTCAGGCAGCACCACAAAGAACCTCGGCACTTCGCCCGTTGGCTCCTCAAGGTGGGGATGTGGACCCCCAAAAACAGTGGCGCGCTTTTTGGTTGCCCTGAAACCAACCCAACACACACACACAGAGAGACTCTTCTCAAGCCTTGCGACGTTTGAAAGAAACGCGAAGTGCCCGCACAACCCCACCTGCGGTTCAGGGAAAGACCGCCGCGTTGGAAGAAGGCTGTGCAGGTGCGTACGCGTATGCGTGTACGTGTGCATGTCGTGTGGATCATGAGCAGGTGTCAACTGAAAGCTCTTCTCGTCACATAGCTCCGGCTCCAAACCAAGCGGCTTGGGAACGTAGGAAGGCGTCAAGTTGGCCTCAGCCAACTTGCCAAGCGAGGGCAGCCAATCCCCAGTGTCAACAGCCTCTCCCGAATTCACTTCAGAGGGGAAGAACATATGCAAATCGTTGAAAGCTTCGTATGCCCAAGCCAGAGGAATGCAATACCACCACCTATCACTTCAACCTACTTGAAGGCAAAAACGAGGTGCGAGGGTTTCAGAGTTGTCCACACTTGGAGACCAAGCAACAAGATCAGCAAGACATCGCCCGGTGCTCGCGGAGTTTTGAAATCGATGGCCATGCGTCGCATTGCCTACGATACCGACTCGCACGGCGAGAGCTTTCGCCATGCGCCTAACTCGCCACTCGCACCCCCGGAGTCGGCTGCGCTATTTACAGGCGGTACTGCAATGCCTCACTATGAACCAAGGGCCATTACATGAACCACAGTTCATTTCAGCAACAAACATCCCAAGAAAGATCCTCTGCTATTTTGTGCTTCTTCGGCACTGTCCGGTGATAAAGCTGGCGCGGCTGCTTCGCAGCCGGAAAATCTCTTCCCCGTCCCACAACGGGCCTGGGTCCAGTGCACCCCACCATGCTCTCTGTCAGAACCCACAGACAGGATACCCGAAAGATGTGCGGAATCTGGGAAACGGAAGGCATCTGGTCCGTTCAGAACCAGCACGGCTTTGCAAAGCAATGGACAGAGACCACGGAAGACTGCCGCTTAGACTCACCTGGACGAGGACCTCAATCTTGGCGCCGGAGGTTCGTCAGACCTGTATTCAGATTCAACAGGGTTCCCACATGTCCTTTTTTAAACCGGTTTAAGCATCACTTTTCGGACAACTTGTGGCTGAGTGTCCGTTTGCCGGGTTCTGTTTAAGGGAGAACTATGGGGGAGGCTTGTTCAAGGTGGGCATCACACATGAGAACGGCCGTCGGGTTCCACATCTAACCCCAAGAGAAGAATAAACATTTGCATGGACCCTAGACAAACTTCATGCTTCCAAATCAGCTCTGCAAATTCTGCCGAATGCCTCCTAACCTGCCTCCAACGATCGGACATGATCCAACGATTAGTCGAGGCTTGAAAAAGGATCCTTGCAAAATGCGGCACGCGGTAGACCCTGGCCTCATAAGATTCACTGCTCGGGATCAAAGCCTCTCACCCTGGACTCCATACCAGAAAAGGGGATCCGGCTCAACATGGCATCCATTTTGCGTTTGGTGCATCTCGCTGCGAGATCTCCAAGACCTGGGATCGGTCCCGGCGGCTTTCCCCGTCTTCCCCTTCAAAAAAGCCCCGGCCGTCTTCACGCGCCCACCAAAACACCACCAACCGGTTTGATAAGAAAAAACAACACGAACGAAGCCGTTCCGCGCCTCTCCCCGTGCCGCGCCCTGAGCGTCACCGTGTTGGCCCGGAACACGGACCGCGATCTCCTGGCCCGCGCGATGGCGTTCGATGGGCCACCCGTCGCAGCAGCCAATGGGTGGAGTGCGATGGCCCCCCCCCGTTGTTTCTGCCTTGGCACACACCAAGAACAAAGGGGAGAGGCGGAACAAAATCCGTTGGGTTCAGGAATCTTGCCACACAGGCTCTTTTGTTTGAGGTACCCCTTGTGGTGTTGTAAGGGGACACCCATGTTTGAGTCGATTCCCATGTTCTGAGGCAAACCCATTTGCATGAACAGGGGAACCCATTTTGTGCTGTACACACGGCTGTCAAAGACAAAGCAAGCTGCTGCATGGGCAGAGCATGTGTCAAAGTAATAACCCGCGCAATGAACATGAAAAAGGGAACGTCGCGTCTCATATGCTGGAAGAGGACTCACGCCATTGTAGCTTTGCGAACCCACAGCAAGTGCCCGTGCTCGTGCCATAACATTTATTCAGCTACAAATGTATTCTTGCCTTGAATACGCCGACTACTCTGCCCAATGGCTAGCCGGAGCCACGCAACATTGCCAGGCCTCATTGGAACATATAAAAGCTGCTCATTCTTGCGGTACTCAGAAAATGCGCTGGACTGGCTCTTTCAGCTACAGAACCAGCTGCTCCAACCCTAGCGGCAAGAACAGGGATTGGCACCAAGCCAAGGCCGCATTGTTTTTTTCGGCGTTTCTCAAAACAGTGGTCCCCTAAACAGTTCAACAACTCAGTTGGTGTGCTTTGGTTGGCCTTTCCCTATCAACAAAAAGGGGGCTCACCATTTTGAGAAAACAAGCCAATAGGTGGCCTTTTAGGGCAAATAGATGGCCCTGGTAGATGATTAAACCACCAGGTAAACCGGTAAACCAGGGATCGCCATCTATGTTTCTACCAAAACAACCAAAAAGGACACCTATGAACAATCCCATAAATCGCTCGCACGGACCCGTTTCTCTCTCCTGCGACTGCGCTCGCGGGAGTCGCGATTGCCGCGCGATCGCCTCCTCGGCTTTTTGTTGGGTGGAGGGCTCGATTATCTGATTGGAGGACCTGCCCTTCGGTTGCTTTCTGCTCCCCTGCTAAAAGTTTAACCTTTAGTGGTTGAATGGAAAACCCATTAGTTGACAAAAAGTTAAAGTCCTAACATCCAAGGAAAATGAAAGCAAAGTGCCAGTTTTGCTCGACCCCCAGCCTGTGTTTTGGAAACCAGCTGCGGGGTTGGAAACACGGGGTGGCCACATATCGCCTGGTGGCTGCCAATCCCCCCCCCCCCCCCCGCCCCGCCGGAAGAAACAACAACATCCGAGCGCAAGTTGCGGACCTTGAGGTAGCGAAGCTTCGGGAAGCCCCGCTTGGAAGCAAGAGCAGCGCCCAAGCACGTCTCACGATCTCGTCTCAGTGGGAAAAAATACACGCACCTTTGTTCAGCCTACAAGGCAACTTGATATCCTGGCCCGAAACTGAAGCTATGAGAGTCCCCCTTGATATCTACCTCAAAGGAAGTTTAGAAGGAACTTCCGTACGGACACGAATTGAAATGTTGTAAGCTAGCTAGCTCTCTTCCAGGAGACAAGTGTGTGTGTGTGTGTGTGTCAGTTTTGTTGGGGGGAACCCTGTTGTGGTTGGCTTTAAAGGGAAACCAACCGGAAAACCGAGAAATCCATTTGGGGAGGTCCAACCGAACAAACTGACAGAGACAAGCCGCTGCGTCAGCACCTGGCCGAGCTCCTCCGCGCCTCGTGCCGGGAAAGCGGGAAAGAAGAAGCAAACAATCGGCTCAAGCCTTGGGTGCTGTAGATCCCCCAGCCAAAAGTTTAGCTTTTTGCTGGTTGAAAAGAAATATGAATCCAAAAAGTTAAAGTCAGACCCAACCCAATAGCGGTAGAGAAGCGCCCCCAAGGAAACAAACAACTTGATGCGTCCAAAGGGTCTGTTATGAGACTCCTTCGGGAGAGGGGTTCACCCGTGGATCGTGGAGGGAGCTCTTCACAACCAGAAATCAGCTCACAATCATATATGATGAGTGGTTTAAGCTTCCCGAGCTCTGGCATGCTTCCCCTGGACGAAAACCTGACATCAAGATCCTGGATCCTCTTGAGATGGAGCTATTCCCGGCTCAAAGCGAGATATTCTCGCGATGGACACCTGGCAAGAGTCTTCGTAGTACTACAGTTGTTTGTTTTGGTGGCAAATGATGCCTGCTTTCCCACTCTTTCCAACAATCCTGGAAGTGGACGAGGCTCCCCGCATGAAAAGTAGTCTTCCAAAACCTTTCTGTCAGCTTTGACTGTTGGAGAGAATTAACTTTACCAACAGCCTGTCAAACAAATCGCAGGAAAGAAATTCAGAAAGGCACGGCTGCAAGGCTCCCCATTTCGAGGGAGGTGATCTCCTACCAGGGGCCCCGAATATTGGCCAAGCGCCTCTTGGAGAGGGGGGTCAAGGGAAACCAAAAAAAGAACTCGCCTTTTCCAGGGGTCCGAAAACCTCCGAACACCGCAGTTTGAAACACACATGCCAATCCGCGGCAAGTGCCCCCAAGGAGTTCATCTTGTTTCTTGCCGCACCAAAGCCTCACACCTTTTGGGTATCAACATAGGGAAGCCCCCAGAATGGTGGTCTTACTGGTGGTTTCCGTTCAAACAAAGGTAAGCACACACACACACACACTACTTTTGGCGAGGGCACGTCGCAGGTACCGTGCTGCGTCTGCACGCTGGTGCTCCGACATCTCCTGCATGAAGTGCTTCACGGCATCCCTTGGTGGCTGTTGGGCCGGACGGGAACGCGCATTCAAGACATGCACGCAGTCATGTAGTCAAGTAGCGGCGGCAACTTCCACTGTGTGGCTGTTGTTTTCTGGAAGGGACTCCGAGGCTTCAACACTAGGTGGGAATCCCTATGGAGTTCGTCCGTCCAGCCGGGCGCTTGCCAGCACTTGCATGTGGCCATCGAGCTAGAACCCTGGCCTGTTTGAACTGAAACGGAAGGAAACCAACCCTTCACGGCACTATGTGCACAGCCAGCCAGCAGGCAGGTGGCATGCATGCTAGCAAATGAGATCTGCCCAGCAAAGGCCTGTCCAGGCCACATCTGGCCTACTGAAAAGGCATCGTCTGCACATCTAACTTAGAGGCAAACTCCCTGGGAACCATCCCCCTCATCCCACTCGATTGATTTGTTCGTGGTCGCCGCTACTCAGCCGAGGCTCGTGACCCTCTGCATCTGCTGCTCAAACCTTGGCAAATGCATTTGATCGGCCAATTAAAAAGGATCGAAGAAAGTACGGGCCTCAATATGTCCGGAATGCAAAAAAAAACGGGCCCTGCCAGGGGAAGAAAAAAAACATGCGGTTTTGTAAGTTAATGTCCATGAGCCCGAAACAGTTGGCAAAGCAGACCGGCGAGTTGGGGCCACCCCAAGTTGGGGGCCACCCTTCAAACAACTCTCGCCAAAACGACGCAAATCCAACAATTGGTCAAAAAGTGGCATGTGAGCCGCCTCAAGGGACATAGGGGGGCTGGTATAAGAAACCCCGCCAAGCTCCGAGAATTCCCCTCTTCCCGCAGGCACCTTTGGCGGGGAGCTGGGATCGTCT